ATCTCAAAGTCAAGGATAAAAACAATATCAATGAGGTTAGTAACATCAAGTATAGAAAAAAGAAAAGAACTAAGCAATGACCACACAATTTCACAATATGGAAGTTAGGGTGGCCTTGGCAGGAGCAATATCATTCGCATGATGAAATAAGAAGCCAGGCTGAAGATTTAAGAATGAATAAGAGTGCACAAACACTAGTTAACAAATATTCTTGCCATTAAAAGAAAAATTCAAGCCTGAATCAAATCAAGCTTCTAGAGGTAACTAATGATTTATAGGAAAAAACAAAGAACAAAAGAACATATTACACAAAACCACAGGGAAGCAATCAGCACAATCCAGAATCTGAAATCACACAGGGCAAAGACCTGGTTTCTTCAATACACCAACTATATGGGAACAACAGCAGCAAAAAAAAAAAAAAAAAAACCACCTATAAACTTAAAAAAAAAAAAAGAAAGGGTTGAGATGCATACAAGCTCAATGTAATGTACAGATCTATTTTGGATATTTTTTTTTGTACCGGGGATTAAACCCAAGGGTGCGTAACCACTGAGCCTCATCCTCAGCCCTTTTTGTATTTTATTTAGAGACACAGTCTCAATGAGTTGTTTAGCACCTCGCTCTTGCTGAGGCTGGCTTTGAACCCACAATCCTCCTGCCTCAGCCTACTGAGACACTGGGATTACAGGGATGTGCCACCATGCCTGGCAAGTATGTTAATTTTTTACTGTATGATTATTGCTTTAATCCTTACCTTTTAGATACATAATGAAATATAACACAAGCCTATCTTTTATTAATAATTATTTCCTGACACATTGTGCTCTGTGTCACCCAGCAAGCTATAATCCCATAGGAGCTGCATAACAAATAAGATTCAAAGTGATACAGGGATTCAAAGCAAGTAGACCACAATTGGAGTAGGATGCCGAATCAAGGGCTGGGGTTGTAGCTCAATGATAGAGCACTTGTCTAGCATGTGTGAGGCACTAGTACCATCAGCACCACATAAAAATAAATAATTAAAATAAGAGTATTGTGTTCATTTACAATTAATTTTTTTTTTAAATCAAGCAAAATTTTCAGAAGGTGATTATACTAGCATCAGGCCTTACAAAATGATGAAATTTCAACAGGTAGAAAATGAGAAAGGAAAAATGATATATCCATTGAAAGAAATGAAAGAAACTGCACAGAGATGAGAAGATCTGTCTACACAGAATACTCACTTCGCCATAAAACTGTCCCTCTTCCCTAACAATGACATGAAAAGGAAAAGTCAAAGTGAAAAGTCAAAACCCACTAGGCAACTCCAAACTGACAAAATGGTGGGAGAATCATTTAGACCCAAAGCAGCCTCAGGACAGATCATTATAATCCCTGGGTAACCAAACCAGACTGGTTTTCCAGGGCAACTGATTCCAGTCAGCCCCTGATTTTTTCTTCTCCCCATGGAAACTTGGGAGAAGAATACATGAAGTTCTCCCACCTCTCCCAGGAAATGATTATCAAAATAATTAGCTTAAGGGGGCTGAGACTGGGGCTCAGCAGTAGTGTACATGCCTGGCATGTGTGAGGCACTGGGTTCGATTCTCAGCACCACATATAAATAAAATAAATAAAGGTCTATCAACAACTAAAAAATAAAACTAAAAAATTAAAAATAAATAAATAAATAGCTTAAAATAGTACCCACTAATAAGTTGTGTCTCCCTGCCTAAAGCCACTACCAAGAAAGATAAAGTTACAAGAAATGCCTTCCCTTAGAACATTCTTCATGTTACAGATTTTTTAAAAATACAGCTGATGAAGCAGGTACATCTTAAATAAGACTTTTACTCCCTTCAAAAACAGAATAAGTAATCTCAACATTAAAATTCTTTGAAATATTTTGGAACTAAATTTAGTGGCACTAAATTTTTCTATGTGCCAATACCATTAAAATTCTCAGGTATGATGCCAGTGAAAATGAACATCAAGACAAAAACAAATGCTGATGATCAGCCAAAAGTTAACATTTGGAATTTCTATCACTGCTCTCCCTTCATGTACCATAGAGCACTGCTTCAAATAAGATGGACAAGTGGGGGGACTTTTCTTAAACTAAAGGAAAAAGCAACAAGGTAACAGGTCACATTAGCTTTAAAACAATCTTTAGTCACTAACTACATCTTATTTCATGATAACTGAGAGTGGCATACACCAAATCAAATATAATTGTTCCAACTTATCAGAGGAAATAAGAAAAAGAGAGGGGCTGGGGATGTGGCTCAAGCGGTTGCGCGCTCGCCTGGAATGCGTGCGCGGTTCAATCCTCACCACCATATACAAACAAAGATGTTGTGTCCACCGAAAACTAACAAATAAATATTAAAAAATTCTCTGTCTCTCTGTCTCTTTCTCTCTCTCTCTCTCTCTCTCTAAAAAAAAGAAAAAGAGAGAATAATGAGGATTGGAAAAAAGATGGGAACCCTTACATTATTTAGGAAAGTTTTTATATAAGTTATCTGTAAAACAGAGTCAACACAAAAACAAAACCTAAGTCTTCAATTTTTATGATATACACTGCACTACTGGGTCACTATGTGCTCTTCTACTTAAGAACACCTCTTTGAGCTGGACACAGTGGCACATGCCTGTAATTCCAGCAACTTGGGAAGCTGATGCAGGAGGATTGCCAGTTCAAACTCAGCCTCAGCAACTCAGTAAGACCCTAAGTAACTCAGTGAGACCTTGTCTCTAATAAAATATAAAAAAGGGCTGGGGACATGGGTCAGTGGTTAAGTGCCCTCGGGTTCAATTCCCAGTACAAAAAAAAAAAAAAACCCACAAAACTCTTTGATTTGGGATTCCATTCTAAACCAGTAGATGGTCACAAAAGAAGAAATGCCTGCTTTCTTTGTTCCTCAGTTACACATAAAACCATGACATTTACCTTACCCCTCCAAAAAAGGTAAGATAGATAACTTTTAAAAGGCTTCATCTTCTATTTTCACCTTTTGAAGTTGGGATTCATTATTTTCCTTCAAATACTAATCATTTGCTCACACGGCTTTCTTTAAATTACCTATTTTGTGAAATATTAAATAGGATAATTTGATATAACAACAATTCCAAGTTCAAAATATTATCACATTCAAATACAATCTAGCAACTATATAAAATATTAGGAACAATAAATAAGGTACTTGCTCTAAAAACGCTACAACAAACCTGTAAGAAAATCACAATACAAGGTATAATATATTAACTGTTACAAAAGGGGTATGATAACTCAAGAACATGGAAAACGGGATGTAAAGATATGAATGTGAGAATCTGACAAGTAGAAAGTGAATCGGAATGAAAATATTCTCTCTTTAGGAATTCTTAATTACACAGCTTCACCAAAGCACTGTTGGAGTCGCCTTTATACCCCCAAACTGTAGACCATGTACCAATTAACACAGCTTTTTTTTTTTTTTTTTTTTCACCCTCAACGGAAAGGCAAAGTCTTGGTCATTCACAGACACCATATGTCCTCCTCACTTGAAGCAAAATTTTGTCTAAAGTGAAATCTGCCTACTGCTCCTACAAAGCAAACAAAAATCAGCCTGCAAACCACCACAAACTGAATAAAATTATGGATATTAGAAACAAAAGTTCACTGTGAAAGATAATTAAAAATAAATTTGAGACTTTTGTTATTCAGAGACTGAAAAATGCAGTGATGAATAAGGAAAAATAAACCTGAGAGACGTGAAGAAGCCAGCTTTGTTGAAAACCAAGTGGCCACTTGCCAATACTTCTTTATGTACATATTACTAAAGATGATTCTAGGCAGACTCGGGCCACAAAGACACTTTTATCAAATACCAAATTAAGAAAGTTCTTCTAAGTATTTCAATTTTGATAAGCTAAAGGACAGTTTTAAAAAAGAGAGAAAGACTTCATAAAGCATTGCAGAATCAATATAGAAACAAAGCTTTGAGTCTAAATCTGAGTCCTAAAAAAAAAAAACAGACTTTAACTGTCACACGAACAGCCTATTTTCTGGCTTCTTTATCTTAGATTTCGTCAAGAAAAACACTGGTCACTAGAAAAGGGACTGGCCTTAGTTTAAAAATCTCTCTGTAGCCAGCAGGGAAGAAATCACACAATTCTGAATTGCAACTGATAAAACTACAGCAACCCTCAATAGAACTCTTCCTCTTAGTTTGAACTCCATACACACGCATTTCAGATTTGTACTTTCAAGTCGCTATAAATGATGTCGTTTGTGAATGAAAACGCAATAAGGATACTCCCCAAACTCCTATACCCCATGATCCATCCTCAAAGAGTGGAAGGAACAGCAAAGTGGAAGGAACAAAGCACTGACGTCAATTACGAGATTAACCCCGAGCACAGGCAGCTGGAGCAAAGGCCTAAACATCAATATCCAAATACAAGCTATCGGGAGACCCAGGTAACAGGCCGATTCAGAAGTGGGGAGAGGGTATTCGAATATTACACCCCCTGTTCCCATTTTTAGTCAATCCCCCTTGGCTGGTCAAAGACGGAAAATTTTTCTTTTTTTTTTTTTTTTTTGCAGAGGACGGGAGAGAGGGGGAGGTGCGCAGGATCGCGAGAAGGAAAGCGAGAACTAGTTGGGTAATGATAGCCAGAATCTGGGCCTATTTTCTCTTTAACCAGGAATAATCTGAAATTGAGGAGAGTATTAAAAAGGAACGATTCAGACGACGGACTGTCCAAAAGAAGGAATAGATTAAGTAACGAAAGGAGAAACAGCGAAAAGATGGGCTGTGGGAATATTTGCTGAGATTAGGGTTGGCCCTTTTTTTATTAGTATTATTTTATTTTATTTTTCCTGCGAAAGGGTGGGGAGTGAACGCGAAGATGAGGGGCGAAGCCGGATGAAGCAGCCCGCGCCCAGAGGGTCCCCTCGAGCGCCCGGCGGACTTGGCCTCCCCTCCCCCACGGCCCGGTCTGTCAGTCCGTCAGTCGGCCCTCCTCACCTCCAGTCCCGGCTCCGCTAGGCCCGAACCATCTCCCGGCTGCGGCTGCGGCAGCGGCGACGCCGGGCCTGCACCTTCACCGGACGCGCATTCAGGCCCGCCCAGGGGGCGGCGACAGCCTGCCAAGGGCGAGGGGCTTCGGGCGGCGGAGGTTCCGGAGGCCTCGGAAAGCTAAGGCGGTGGCGACGGCACACCTCACACGGCAAAGAGGGAGGGCCCGCCCCGCTCCATGACGGCGGGGCCCAGCCTGGGACGGCTGACTGAGGCGGCGGGGGCGGGCTGACGAAGACCTGGCACCGCGATCCCCGCCCCGTCCGCTGGCGGCGGCGGCGACGGCTCGACTCCCGCAGCCAGGACTGACTGACGCAGCGGCCGGGCGGCCCATGTGACTAGGACCGAGTGGGTGCGGGGCGTCACGTGACGACGATGCGCCCCTCCCGCCGAGAGAGTGGGGGCTGCGGGCCTGTGGCGCCCGAGGCGACGCCCCCGGGTGCTGACGTGCGATACCTTCGGGTCGCACTGCCGCGGGCTGGCCGAGAGCGGGCACAGGTGGTCTAGGCTGGGGCTGCTGGGCACGGCCGCCGCTTGGGCAGGGCCAGGGGGGCAGGACTAGGCCTGCACACCTCCTGCGCGCTGCCCGCTAGTGAGGTTCGGAAGGCGAGGAGAGGCGGTGCCGGGCCGGATCTACCGGTTCTGGGGCTCAGACGAAGGAGCCCCGTCTGTCCGCCCGCCCTCGTGGGCATCAGTCTGGCCCAGCCCAGTCCTGGTACCAAGTTCCGCCCTGGACTGTTCTCGAGCCTTCCCGGGTCCTGCTGCCCTCAACAGGTCCCGCAGAAAAGGGAATTTCTGCTAGAGGCTTGAATTGACCCAAAAGCCAACATTTCTCGCCACTGATGTTTTTCTTCAGGATGTCATTCTCTGCACCTCTTAATAACCTGCCAGTCAGGGCAAGTCATGATTTAACTGAGAATGAAGTCATAGTTATAGGCTAGACAGGATTTTAGGGTCTCTTAGGATCCATTATGGTAACTATCCAGGAAAGACTCTTGTTTATTTGAAAAACACAAAAGTTCATGTCTTTTACCCGCTTTCTTCATTTGAAGGAGCCTCATGAAAGCATCCATAGAAGGGTAATTTCATCTTTAAAATTTCTGGCTGACCATCTAATATTTAACCATCACTTTCTACAAATATTTTATCCAATAAATTATGAAATAAATGCAAAACTCCAACCATATTAGGACAGAATGGAGTAAAAAATAATTGCCTCTTCTATCCCTGCCATTCAATTACTCCAGTCCTAGAACTAATTAGCATTTTCTAATGAATCTTATCCTATATATGTTATAAAAATACATTAAAGTACAGCCACATGAAATAGGGATCTAGCTCTCAGGGGTAGTACGCTTGCCTAACATTCACAAGACCCTGGATCTGATCCCCAGCACCCCAAAACAAAAAACCATGGGATCCTGATTCAAGAAATTTAGAACTAGCCTAAAATATATAGATACTTTTTTTTTTTTACACAAAAGATAACACACTATATACACTGTCAGTTCCTTCCTTTCTGCAAAATATCTTGGACATCCCTCTGTATTAGTACATAAAAGATGCCTCTTCCTCATGTATGCGATCCACTGCAGATATGATTTAAGCCAATCCTCTACAGGTGGATATTTAGATTGTTGCCATGCCCTTATTACATGTTAAGTTTCAATGAGTAAGCCCATACAGTAGACAATTATAAATATATAATAAACTGGTTGTGGTGGTGCAGGTCTGTAATCTCAGCAACTCCAGAGGCTGATGCAGGAGGATTGCAGTTCAAAGACAGTCTCAACAATTTAGTGAGGCCCTAAGCAACTCAGTGAGACCTTGTCTCTAAATAAAATACAAAAAAAGGGCTGGGGAGTGGCTCAGGGGTTAAGTGCCCCTGGGTTCAATCCCAAATACCAAGAAAAAAAAAATTTTTTTTTTTTACATGGCTGGAGATACAGCTCAGTTGGTAGAGTGCTTGCCTGGAATGCACAGGGCCCTGGGTTCAATCCCTGGCACCACAAAGAAAAATAAATTGATATATAATAAATCTTTAAACTGGAATCATTACATCAAAAAAATTGTTTTGTTTTGATACCAGGAGTTAAACCCAGGGGTGTTTATTTAACCACTGAGCCACATTCCCAGCCCTTTTCACTTTTTATCTTGAAATGGGGTCTCATTAAGTTTCTTAGAGTCTGGCTAATTTGCTGAGACTGACCTCCAACTTGTGATCCTACTGGCTCAGCCTCCTGAGCCACTGGGATTATAGGCATGTGCCACCATGCCTAGCTACATCAAAAGATATTTTTAATTTTGATAGCTATTGCCAAATTACATAGAAGTTGTACCAATTTAATTTGCTTTCTTTCAATTTCTAAGAAAATTTACAAGACTGTATAAGGTATGGTTAGGAAAGGATGGAGAGTAGCAAAAGAAAAGAACATTTGGGATTATTCTGCAAATAAGAATTTCCTACCCTTTCAGAAAATGTGAGAAAAAAATGTTATAAAATTATTTCTGGGCTGGGGATATGGCTCAAGCTGTAATGTGCTCGCCTGGCATGCGCGGGGCGCTGGGTTCGTTCTCAGCACCACATAATAAAATAAAGATGTTGTGTCCACCGAAAACTAAAAAATGAATATTAAAAAACTCTCTCTTTAAAAAAAAATTATTTCTCAAATTGATTTTGAGGTGATAGGAATTGAGCCCAGGGCCTGGAGCATGCTAAGGAAGCACATGACCAAAGAGGCTACAGGGACCCTCTGCACCATTTCTCAGTGTTTAACATTTTAATACTTTTTTTTTTTTTTTACTTTTTGGTACTGGGAATTTAACCCACTTTTACCACTGAGTTACATCCCCATCCCTTTTTATTTTTTATTTTGAGACTTGCTGAGGGCCTCACTAAGTTGCTGAGGCTGGCCAACTTGTGACCCTCCTGTCTCAGCCCCCCAAGTTGCTGGGGTTCTAAGGCCTGTGCCACCCCACCTGGCTAATACTCCTATCGTTTTTATTTAAGAAGATTCATTCATTTCTTAAAAAGTGAGTTGTCTTTAACTTTATGTTCTAGAACTATGTAAGACTACTATACACAATGGAGAAATAGCAGAAAATCCTACCATAAAACTGTAAAAGAAAAAAATTATGATTTTTTTTATTAACATACAATATTTTAAAGGATTTAATGTCTATTGTTAAGAAAACAAGTTCTTAGTAGAATACTGTTTTTAAATTAGTTTTTTGGAAGTATAATTTCTCTACAGTAAAATTCATTCTTTTTAATGGATTCTATAATCACCACCACAATCAAGATACAGAACATTTGGGGACTAGGGATGTGGCTGAGGACTAAAATACTTCCTTAGTGTGCACAAGATGCTGGATTCGATCTCTATCACTGAAAAATGGGAGAGGGGAAAAAATAAAAATACTGTTACTTAAACAGTGTATGCATACAAGACATTTCTATCACCCCAAAACATTGCCTTGTGCCCTCTTATAGTGAATGTTTCATTTCAACTCCCAGTTCCTAGCAATCATAGATCTCCTTTTTGTCCTTATAATTTTACCTTTTCTAGAATACTATATAAGCTGACTCACAGTATGCAGCCTTTAAGTCTGACTTCTTTCACTTGGCACAATGCCTTTGAAATTCATGTACCAGTAATTTATTTCTAATGAATTGCTAAGTAGTAGTCCATTATATGGATATAACACTGTTTAGCTATTAATCAGTTGAGAGACATTTGGGTTGTATCCAGTTTTTAAAAATTATGAATAAAGCCACTATAAACATTCATATATGAAGTTTTATTAAGGCTTTAAAAATAATCTTCATGGGCTGGGGTACTGGCTCAGTGGTAGAGCCCTCGCCTAGCATGTGTGAGGCCCTGGATTCAACCCTCAGCACCACATAAAGATAAATAAATAAAGGTATTGTATCCATCAACATCTAAAAAATACTTTTTAAAAAATAATAATCTTCACTAATACTTTCTGAAAGTAATATCTAGATATAGGCAATACCAAGTTACAACTACAGCTGCATAAACATTACTCTTCATTGTGGTAGAAATTCCAACAATTTATTTGTTATTTATCAAATAATTATTAAACATCTATATAGAGTAGGTACTATTCTAAGCACAGGTAAAACAATTCTGATTCCCCAAAAATACTGCCAAAAATAGTTGGACAGAGCAAAGTTAAGTTGATTGTTTACTGCAGGTAAGAGAGATCTCTGCGGGGTGGTGGTGCATGCCTGTAATCCCAGCAATTTGGGAGACTGAGGCAGAAGGATCACAAGTCCAAAGCCAGCCTCAGCAATTTAGGAAAGCCCTAAGCAACTCAGTGAGACCCTGTCTCTAATTAAAAAACAAAAAAGGGCTGGAGGTTTTTATTAAGGCTTTAAAATAATTTTCATGGGCTGGGGTTCTGGCTCAATGGCAGAGCGCTTGCCAAGCATGTGTGAGGCACTGGTTTCAATTCTCAGCACCACATAAAAAAATAAATAAAATAAAGATATTATGTCCATCTACAGCTAAAAATTTTTTTTATTTTTTATTTTTTGGTGCTAGGGATTGAATGCAGGTCCTTGTGCATGCAAGGCAAGAACTCTACCAATTGAGTATATCCCCAGCTCCCCAGCAAAAAATATTTAAAAAAAAAAAAAAAGAGCTGGGGATGTGGCTCAGTGGCTGAGCGCCCCTGGGTTCAATCCCCAGTACAAAAAAAGAAATCTCTACCTTGAAATATTAATAGGTTTTGGAGTCCTAATTTTAGATGACTTCAATTCAGGCAGCTTGGCTAGGTTTGGGTAAGAACTAATACATTAGGATTAGTGAACATACCAAGGCAAAGGTAATTAGAGTCTGGGAGAGTATGAGTTTTATTATTGCTGCTGTAACAAATGATTGCAAATTTGGGGCCTTAAAACAACACAAATTTATTACCTTAAAATTCTGTGAGTTAAGTGGGTCTCACTGGTTAAGATCTAGATATTGACAAGGCTACTCCTTTCTAGATGCTCTGGGGTAGACAGAATCTGTTTTCTTTCCTTTTCAACTTCTAGAGGCTGCCCTCATTCCTACACTCTTGAACTGGTCCATCATCTTCAAAGCCAACAATGACTGGTTGAGTTCTTTTTAAATCACAGCACTCTGACCTTCTATTCTGCCTCACTGATTTATTTTATATATAAATAAACATATGTACATGTATACTATATATTATATAAAAGTATATACTTCGGGATATTTCTGATTACTTTGATTCAATTCAGATCATCCAGATTATAATCTTTC